GTTCTGTGCCATGATGAGCAGGGAGTTCCTAGACCCTGCAGTAGATGCAGAGTGTCGTAGGGAGCCACAATCACGTTTACTGCTGCGGTTGTTAGCATATTACTAGAATAGACAGTAGTGGCCGAAGAATATGTCGGGCAGGGCGAAAACCAGAACGGTAGCAATAGTTACAATGATATTGCTGGCGACTGGCGATTTCAAGGTTCATGGGCAAAAGAACGTAAAAACACAACAACCAGCAGCAGTGGCACAGGTTGCTATGCTGGGGCCTGGTGCAGAGGTAGTAGCAACAGCCACACCAGTCGCAGTGGCAGAAGTGGATGGTAGCTGGCAGTAGTAACGGGCAATGTGCAAGAACAAAAACCCTAAACCCTAAACCCTAACAAAACCATACATTTCATGATCCGCAGAAGCCGCTCAAGGATGCCGCCTCTCATGGGAATGCCTCCGCTCAAGCCTCAGATTTGCAAGACACTCCTGGGACTTTCAGGGGTTAAGGGTTTAGGGTTCAGGGCTGAGGGTTTCGGGTTTTAGGGCTTAGGGCTTAGGGTTTAGGGTTTGGGGTCTTCGGCCGTCGGGGTGGTCCCTATAAGGTTTCCCAAGTCCCCCGAATTCTCGGAAACTCAACAGCTACCAACTTAACGTCCTACTTCCCTGTCTTGGCTCAGAATCCTGTTTCCCAAAACGTAAATTTGAGTGACTACAGTACCAAAAGTGTGGTACTAGACAAGAGACCCTGTTTCGGGTATTCCTCCAAGGAGGGTCCTGTCTGCTCAGTAGAGGAGGCCTCCTCAGGTGGAGGTTTTGGATGAACAGGCTTTGTGCTTTGGCTTCTCTTACTTATGGGATGCTTGGTGTAACTTTTAATGGTTTTGTAGGGTTTAGGGTGTGGCGTCCTGGGTTTCTGGTTATGGGGTCGAGGTTGTGAGGTTGAGATGATTATACAGGTTGAGTTTTTTGGGCTTGGGTTTTACAGTGTTTATGTCTTTGTTTTGGAGAGCTTTGGGCTAGTCGGGTTTGGGGGGGCTTGCCTTCATGGGTTACAGGTACTGGGCTTAGTTATCGGGCTGTCTTGGGTTTGGGGCTTAGTTTGCTAGAGTTACATTTAAGTCAGGTGCACAACCTGAGCAATCCCAAGCTGCAAGCTCTGCTGAGCCGCCTGTAAGCCTGCCCCAAAGAGCGCAGCATTTATCCGCAAAGCCTAAATCTGAACCGTCGACTCTACCCCACACCAAACTCTAGACATATCAAGGCTCAACGTACGGCCGCGCTTGTTGAACCGAAGAGTGCGGCAGCCTCTTTGCACTCCGACCTCGGCCAAGCATCCCATACAAAGGAAGCCTTATAACTTATATAGACTTAAATTCGCCCCAAACTAATGAATGCCATCAGCATCTATAACTTATATAGACTTAAATTCGCCCCAAACTAGTGAATGCCATCAGCATCTATCAGCCCTACGCAACCACCCTAAACCCCTCAACCCCAAACCCCTAAAGCATCCTAAAGCCGTCAAAGCCCCAAACCCCTACACCCCCCAAAGCACTATGCCCCTAAACCCAAAACCCCTAAACCCCAAGAAGCACCGCACTTCGAAGCAAGAGAGGCCTAAACCCTAAGACCCTAGACCCTAAACCCTTGCATCTGGGCTTAACTAGGGATCTAATAATAACGCCTATTTAATAAGAAGTATACCCTAGACCCTAAACCGTTTACCCTAAACCCCGAAGCCCTAAACCCCTATACCCTAGTAGTAGAGTAGGTAACATTTAACCTTTTTGGGGTAGTACAGTCCCTATATAATCCCTATATACCCAGAAACGTTAACCTTCAGTTCCCCATGATACCCGACAAGTAGGAAACTATAAACCCTTTAGCCCCAAACTCCTGAACCCCTAAACCCTAAACCCCCTAAAACTCTAAAACTCTAAACCCCTAAAGCCCTTAAGCCCTAAAACTCTAAGCTCCTAAACCCCTAAACCCTAAACTCCTAAACCCCTAAATCTTAAACCCTGTAAACCCTAAAACTGTAAGAGCCCACGAAATCCGAGGCCCGGCTTTCCGCCTGGGATGGGTCCCGCGCGGCCCTTGGGTTTCCCAAAACCTCGTACTTGGAAGGGCAGGGGACATAGTAATTAGGGTTAATTAGGGTAACTCTACTTATAACCACTTATAACCCCCTTTAAGCTACTTATAACCTTACTTACTAAGTCCCATGATCCTCCAAGTAGTATCCCAAGATGGAAGCCTCTGGACCCCATATGTATAATTGAGTGTATGTAAGTAAGTAAGTATGTATGTATGTATGTATGTAATATAAGTCTGTATTTAAGTTAATGTAAACTCATATCTTATATACCTATCTAGCTAGCGATATACCATCAATAATGGTTGTACCGTCACATAATTACTTTGGACTTATCGCTAACTTGCAGCTGAAGCCCGAAATTGCGATATGTGTTGGGGGAATCATAGGTTTGTTCAGGATTGGGGGTTGGGTTGGTTGATGTCGTGCCTGTCCAGTTCCTTAACCCGTGAATGCTTGCAGTTGTGGCTTCCATACTCAGTGGTGTTATAAAGCCAGCTAGTAGCCCGCCAAGTGACATTTGTGAACACATGAAGAATTCTTGCACATACTTTTGCCAGATACCTTTTCGAGTTGATCGAAAAGGGCTCAGTACCTGTTGTATTTAAGCACCACACTAAGCTGCCTACCACTGCTGACTAAAGTGCTACGGTTTTGCGCTCTTGCTCTTGCTGTCTCGCTGATGCAAGATTTGCCATACGCAGGCGACACAACCCGACCATTCAACTTTACCACTCTTCGTTTGGTCCAGGAGCCTCGCAAAAAATGTCCATATGAGTCTAGTCCTTAGGATTACGTATGTTAATTGCAATCCATGATAATAGGCGCTCCCGAAACCTTGTTCGAATATCAACGCCTCTATATTACGGCCGCCGCAGGAATCAAACCTACAAACCGATTCTCTGAAATTTCAAGTTTCCTAGCCCTGCAACTTCTATACTTACTCTACAACCCTTTTGGAACTCTGAATCGGAACGCTATTGGAATCCGTAAAAGGATTCTAAATTTGTAAGGAGTAAACCTTCAACCGAATCCGAAAGCCTAATTAAAGCTATAATGCCTGAAACCTAAACGCTACAGCTTCGAAACTAAGCCCCAAACCAAGGTGTCATCAGCCGGTGGTCCTCTAGGAGGTGCAGAGCAACAGAATCCTAGGGCCGGATTTAGGAGCGTTTGGGGTAGCTCTAAAGGTTTTTGGGGTTTTTGAGCAATGAAAATGGTTTACACGTGTCATTGTGTTAGGTTTTAAGGTGTAACGTGAATCCAGAAAGGGTTTCTTATAAAGAGGGGTCCTCTTTCTGCGCGGTCTGTATCCCTTGTTGATTCGGGTGGGTTTGAGCAGATACATCTCCTAGGGAACAACTCTGCCTTGCAAAGAACAACCAGAGTTTTGGAGGCTGAGGCTTAGGTTTTCCTGTGCTCCATGCACTACTGTAGCATCTGCTTACAAGTAGTGGTCACATGGAGCGTTTGTATAGCAAGTGTCCTAACATGTAGGAATTTAGGGTCCGGTCTTGCATGAAGCTCCTAAGGCAACTGCATGATCTCTTCAACTACAGCACGGCAAGGTCATGCGAGTCCGAAGTTGGGATTTTCAGCCCCCAAACCTTCAACACGCGCAAAACCCAACAAGCCTCGAGCAATAAAAATCCTGGCCCTAACACCGTAAACCAGCCCTGGCAAGATTGTTTTTTCTTCCAAGCCTAGCTTCTCTTTCCTGCCTTGCGTTCCCGAAGAGCCTCGAAGTCCCCAAAGTCCGAAAGACTTGCAAACACCATTAAAGAACCAGTTCGCAGCGAACCACAATTAATGGCACTCCCGAAGTAGTCCCGGGGCTTACGGTCTTCAGAGATCTAGGACTGAGGGATTGGGGGACCTTAGTGACAAGCTTACCGAACAGATGCCCTGAGCCCTATAAACCCTCAACCCGACACCCTGAGCCCCATGAACCCTTATAATCCCTAAGTAAACCCTAAACCCTAAACAGAGCCTCAGCTGATGCTGTGCACCACGGCAGGTAGCAAGCCATCCGACCGGTTCCCAGCGAGCAAACCTCCGAATCGGGGTTTAGGAGTTTAGGGTTTAGGAGTTGGGGCGTTTAACAGTCTTAGGGTTTGGGGGTGTCTTGTAGGGTGTTCTCCTAGGGCCTTACGGGCTTTATTCGGGTTTTTAGGTTCGGGGGGTTGCTGAGTTCTCGGGTTTGTCTTTAGAGTCTGGTCTCGCAGTGCCCTCAGTAACTCAAGTAGTCGATAGCCAGGTGCCTGACTGTAGGAAGCTACTTGGAGGAGCATGGGACTTAGCAAGTAATAATTGATATAAGTACCTAATTGGAGTTATAAGTAGTTGTATTAAGTTATAAGTAGAGTTACCCTACTTATAACCCTAGTTACTAAGTCCCATGACCCTATAAGTGCGTGCAGCACACCCTCAATACCCTGATCTGAGGTGTGGAGATTCAAGAGACCACAGCCCCGGCATGCAAATTGGGTCCAATTTAAACTCCAAGGTGCTCGGGCAATGGTGGTCACGTAGGGTCGTTTGCAGTGGGTGAAGTACAGCCCCGTGCAGAATCTTGGCTTCAGCGGGTGGCGACTACCTTGATTCCCGAAACCAGTGGTCCAATGACCGTTGGAAATGACACAATTTCTTTTTGATAAGGCTCAGTTAAGCTCTACTCTTAATTAGATGCTTACAAGCACACAGGAGCTTAAAAGAAGATACAGGCTTCTATCGCCCCGAGCTTCGATGTGACAGCCGCCGTGCCCGGAAGATGAATCGAAGACGTCTTTCCCCGAACTTCTCTGAAGTGCCTTGCTCCGGGGTCCTGGCATATAAAAGAATCGTCTGTGCTAAGGCTCCTGCTTAGGATTTCGGAGTTTCGCGTTAGCTCTCGTCTTTCGCAGCATTTAGCGCCATGGCTTCTCATCGCAATCGGTCCAGCTGCGCCGCAGCAGGCACAGTGAACCCTCTTCAGCGTTTTTTGTAAGCGGGATAATTATGTGCATTCATTGAACAAGATTTATGGATGTTTAGGGGAAGCTCTAAAGTATACTGAGTTTATGCATGCATGCGTGAGAGTTGATTTTGAATATAACCAGATGCTCCGGTAACTTGGTGTTGGATCAAGCACATTATGAGTCAATGAGGGTTATGAACTCTGACACTATATTGTTCGACTGGTGGTATTAGTATTATTGTCATTGTTTTCAGCTTGTGCTTCTTCTTATCATTCTTAATGCTGGTGTGATTATGTAATAATGTAATTAAGGATTGCAGGGATGATGTGGTTTGAAGCAGATCTAGTTGGGTGTCAGGGGGCTTAACAGTAACCCTAGCCCTAACTTGGTCACCCTCACCCCAACCCCGACCGGAAATGTAATCTTTCAAGTAGCGCTATTTCAGCCTTTCTAATCTCTACCCTAAACCCTATGTAAACTCTGCACTGTTATCTGCAATATTGATACGGGTAGGGCGTGATTGCAGTGTTGATCGACTTTGTTGGGCTACATTATACTCTGCTCGTCATAGACGTATTGGGTCCAGGAGGGTTTAGGGTTTGCTTGGGAGATCTTGGGAGTTTAGGGGTGGGTGGGTAGCGTCCAGGGTCCACGGCTTTCAACCCTGTGTAATGCTCACAGACAGGCCTGGTTCTGCTGCTGGTGGCCAGCTTGGGTCATGAAGCCTTTGTCAACTTGGTCCTGCGCGGTTCCCGAAGCACTGCGAGGAGCACAGAGTTCTGGGGAATGGATTCGAGATTTGGAGCTGGAGGATGGAATACATGGGATTTGGAGAGTAAGGTATTGAGACTATCAGTGTACAGGATACGAGCAATTCAGATGTAGATGGGTGGTTCTGATTGAAACTCCACCGCTCAGACTGAATACAGAACTTAAAACTCTAAACCATTGAGCATACATGCTAAAACATGTAAACCCGTTTAGCTTGCGGCTGAGTTCAATCTTTTTTGATCTCAGTGGGCTCTTCCCATTTGTGTTTCTGACAGTTCAAAGGTTGATTGTGCTGGTACTGGAGAGGTAGGTTTAGCCAACTGTAGCTGAACCTGAACCCTGAGCTCTGAAATCCTAAGCCCTCAACCCGAAACCTAAACCGCTCCGCAAGAACGGACCTGATTTGACCCTAAACCCTAAACCCTAAACCCTAAACACTTTCTCCGCAGAAGACAGATCGTCTCTTTCTCGAGGCTGACACCAGGCACCAGTGAATCTGTCTTTGATTCAGGGTTTCTGGTCTGGTTTAGGGTTTGGCATTTTAGGGTTTAGGGGTTTAGGGTTTAGGGTTTACCATCACCTGCGAAATCCGAAAGTGGATTGTTTGAAACCGGGCCCGTCTCAGACCCTCTGAAATCGCAACCATGGAAATCACCTTTTTTCTTCCGGGGTTCGGGCATTCCTCCCAAACCCTAAGTTCCTAAACCTTGGCAGCCGTAAGTTCCAAAACCTCAATTCCCAAAATGCCAAACCCCTGAAAAAACCCTTGCAGAAGCCCTGCATGACCCCTCATACGGTTGAGGGTATGAATCCTGCATTACCCATAGTAAGGAATATACCATAATTCCCAAAGTTTAGGGTCCTTAAGGTAATGCAGAATTTACATCATCAGCCGTAGGAATCTTCCTGTAACAGCCTCTACAGAGGACGACGGCCCTCGCTGCAGAGGGCGACTCGCAACGGCCTCCCTGGGATGCCTTCCGCGCCTTGCGCACAGCACGGGGCCTGAGAAGTGTTGGGTTTTAAGGTTTAAAAGGAACTCCAGAAAGGTGGAATATGGTTTCAGGGTAGGATACCTTATAATTTACCATAGAAGGGTTAGGATAATTATATTCCAACTTTCTGGCTTCTACTGTATGTGGGTAGTTGTCAAAATTATGGTCCCTTTTTGGGTCCCCTAAATATTAGGTGCCGTATTATAATAGGGACCCAAAGACGGACCATAATTTTGACAACCACCCATGTGTTTATGGGTCTACGGTTTAGGATTTGTGGGATTTAGGGTTGATGGGTTTAGGTTGTAGGGTTTATGCATTTAGGGTTTATGGATGTAGGATTTTGGGTTCATTTCTGAATTCAGAGTTTATGAGGCGTTGGAGTATCGTGACTACGTAATTAGCGGCCCTGCTAATTAGAATAGAGTACTACAGTCGGGTGATAACAACGAGCCCTAAGGAATGCACTAGGTAGTTCTTTGCGATGTACGGCTGACAGTTCTGGCACTTGGAAGTGGCTCAACAAACATGTCTCGAACGAGCAGCCCTCCAATTAAGGGATCATAACTCCTACTATTTTGTAGGGTTTGGGGCCATAGGTATGCTCCATACACCTCATAACCCTCAACACCCTGAAAAACCTTACAGCCCCAGACTCTAAACTAAGCAATCCTGATCCCGAAAACCCCCCTTTCCGAAGCCCCAAACCGCCACCCAGGCCGCTTTCTTTGGGGCTCTCCCAAACCCTTTGGGCATCTTCGAGCGGATCCCTGACAGTACAGTGTCGAGTGGAGAGGAGGTTGTACTTTTACTGATCTAGTTTGTTAGGATCCTAAAGTAGTGGGAGGGTTGTTTGGACTGCTGTACACTCAATACATGAGGACTAAAAAGGGACTTCTATACATGTCTGCATCAGTCTGTAATTAATACTGCACACTGTAACTGGGCGCTGGAGAAAGGTCTGAGTTTAAAGAAGTTCCGTCTGGAGTTTAGACACAAGATTGCAGGTTCAGGCTTAGACCCGCAAAAGGGTACGACCCTCGGATACTAGAGTCGGGTCCTTTCATCATGAGTTTGAAGGTTCCCCGGTTACGGGTTTCTTGGGGTTTTGAGTTTGTTCTCAGAAGTCAGAGGCCTTTGAACTTCTGGCACCCTAAACCCGAGGCCCAGAACCCCATAACTCCTAAACCCTAGACCCCTAAACCCCTCACCCGAGGCTCAAGGGACCCAGGGTCGACATAGAATATCCGAAAGCCATAGACCATAGAGGTTGACTCTAACGTTTTGTTATATGGGAGTTTCCGAAAATAGGGGTATCTTACTTTGGGGTCCTTATAATTAAGATCCTACAATTTAGGGTACTACTATATTGCTGTGGGGTCCCGTATTTTCGGAAACTCCCATATTCAAGTCCCACACCCCCTAGGAATGCTGAGTTAGTGAACGGGGGAACTTCAAACTTTTTGGCTTTATATTCTAGATCTATCTTAGAAAGTTTGAACTTTTGGGGCCCGGTTGTTGAAGAAGAGATTATGCCAACAATCCTAAAACCGAGCCAATTTGAGACGCCGACCTATAGCCCTAGCTGCAGGATTCCCCATGTTGTTTTCCTTACACAGCCCTATACAACAACGTCTCTCCTTTCCGCTGTAAGTAAATCCTGAACCTTAAACCCTAGTACCCTAGTACCCTGATGCCCTAATACCCTAATACACTAATACCCTCCCAGACCCCGGGAGGATCTAGAAAGTAGATCCCCTAATTTGGGGCCCTATACTACTAAGGGTACTTTATAGGAACCCCCATTTAAGGGATCTACTTTTTGGATTCTCCCGGAAGTCTGGGCTATGACCCTAAACTGAATGACCCAGGACTGGAGACAGCCGGTCCTTGTCCCCGGACCAGGCCATGGGTCAATTCAGCGTTCGTAGCAGCTTAAGTCGCAGCCACGGTCGTGCAGTCATCGGTTAGGGGTTTAGGGTAAACCCTACCTTAACCCCGAATAACCCTCCTTCTTTAAGGACTTATATTAGGAAATCATAATAAGGATTCCTAAAAAGGTAGGTTATTCAGGGTTAAGGTAAACCCTAAACCCAAGTGGGAAAAGCAGTAGTGCGCGTCAGTGAGAAGACAGCCGCGGAATGCGCCCGATAATCTGCCAGACCATGGCAAACCCGTCTGTAGATCACCAGCACATGAATCCGCACATTAGCCCCTATATTACCCTTATAGATCCCTTATAGTAACCCTTATAGACCCCCTTATAGCATCTGATATTCTAACTCTTAAGGCCCCTAGCCGTAGCTGTTTGTAAAGGTCCTGTGGTCTGAAGAGAACCCACTGGATCTCGTCTGGGGCACACTGGATGATGTGGTGATGGGAGGCCGAGCAGTCAGGGTAAAGGATTTCGGGATTGAGGATTTGGAAGCTAGATGGTGCAAGAGCTGAGGGTTTGTCGGAATCGCATTGGCAATCGTTTCTAGGTAGTCCGGGCGGTTTCGGGTTCACGGTTCAATATTAATGCTTCACGCTGTTAGATCCTTCTAACATTCACATCCAAGCAGGCTGCTAGGCACCGGACCCACATGAAGCATGTACTATACGGGCCTAAATAATTGCCAATACTATTTTTCGGGGGGGGGGTTCCTTATTATAACTATGGTATAATCCAACCTCCAAACCCTATTCTAATTATTAAGGCCCCTAGATTAGGTGAATCTCTGGCGAGAGCACGTGGCCCTGAGCCTAAGTGAATCGAAACCCGAATACCAAACTCGTCCTGGGTTTAGGGTTTACCTTAACCCTGAATAAATATAAGGAAATCATAGTAGGGAACCCTAAAAAGGTAGGTTTTTCAGGGTTAAGGTAGGGTTTACGGGTTTAGGGGTTCAGGGAGATCCTGACCCGAAACCGACGAACCACAAGGAAAAAGACCTAGTACGCACTCAAACCCCATTCCTAGTCCATGAAGCCTAGCCCACACTCTGAATCCTTCAAGGCCTTCACTTATGGTATATACGTAGGGGCACTTAGTTTCTTTTTCCATTTTTGGATATTTTTGGTTATTATAATCCTTAAGAAACAGCAAAAATGACATTTTTTGCTAGGCTTCAAAGTTCAGTATAGTATACTTGGGTCTAAACTGTTGCACAGTAGACCAATAACAACCGTACGAACTCCCTATGACACCGGTAGAATCCTGTAACCCAATTAAAGTTCGCTGTAAAAAGAGTACGTCCTCTACACCCTGGGGTCCCAGCGTGCAGAGGTGCATCAGAGTCTGCCCTACAAGGCATCTGCTCTTGATCAGAGCTTTTTGTGGATCGCGGTTGTTATAGGGCTTCATAGGCTTAATTACGTGGTTTGCTGGGTTTGTGCAAGGGCTTAATCGGTTTTGCGTTGCAGCGTGTATGCAGGGTTGTTGTTGCTTTCTGTTTCTGTGCAAGGGTTTTGTAAGAGTTTACATTTGGGTATTATGATGGGTTTATACAGCTGCTATCAACTATCAGCTGCTCATCAAAGTCTGCAAGGATTGATTGGGGTTTTAGGACAGGGGGCATAGTAAGTCGGTCATGCAGCTTTCAGGTGAGCTGATGTAGGTTACCATTTTGCTGCGGCTGCTCCCCCTCCCCGCTGAGTACTTACAGGAAGCCCTGACCCCGCACCCTGAAGGCTCTGAACATGTAGGGAGTTCAGGCCCCGCAATCCTAAACCCGAAGGGTTTAGGGGTTTGGGGTTGAGGGTTCATTTAGGGTCCCTGGAACTGCAGGTACGACTTGGACAGGCACAATTATCACAGAAGGTGGCGGCTTTGCTGGCATCCGGACGCAGCCCTTCAAGCACCCTGACTGCTCATGATATGGGGTGTTTGCTCGGATTTTGGTGAGTGTATTCGGGCTCCATACGCTACCGATGAATGTATGTATACGTAGTAGTTGGAGTGGTAGACGAGTGACGAGCGAAAACACCTTGTAGGATGTCCAGAGTATCCTGAATAATCAGGTGTACCTTAAAGGCCTTTAGGCCTCTCTCGAACAAGTCCAGTTTCGAATAAACAAAAAATCCCCAATCCGGACTTTGCCACAGGACCAATTTCTGCAGTAACTCCCACATGCCGAGATGTCACTACACCCTAGGCCCTAAACCCACTTCCCGGTGGAAAAGGTTTGATATGTGTCCTACCGCCGTCCGACAGCAAGCTTCACTCGGAACTCTAAACCCTAGACACTGCCCATGGAAACATTGCAGGAGACAAGCAGGAGCCGATGTTGTGCGGTCGGTTGGATCTCAGGTTTAGTGTAGGATGTAGGGACCCTGCAAAATCTAGGTTGTGGTATTTAAAGTACATACATTACATACACGTTCTGGGCCTAAACCCTACAACCTTGAAGCCCCAAACACAACAAATCTTAGCAACCTAATCCCAATAATCTCAAAATAGCCCTTGCAGCCTTGAGCCCTAAACCCTAAACCCCTAAACCCTGATCCCTCAACTCTATAAACACCGACACCCTTGAGCCCTAACGCTTCAGGCCCGCTTTCGACGTGAGCGGCTGCTCTGGACTCCGTGTGCGGGTGAAAGGCCCAGCCATCGAAGGGTGGAGGGCGTAGCCGTATTGTTATTATGGTTATGATTGTTATTTGCTTATTGCTTTTGTTTATTTGTATAATTCTGAAATATGTGACTGTTACTGGTGTCTTATTGTTCTTGTTTTTCTATAATTAGAAAGGCCCTTAGGATAATAGGGTTCATTGAACGCTGGCTAGATGGTCCGCCGAGTACTTCAATGAATATGGTTCCCGGCCCTGAGTACTACACTCTGAATCAGTTTTGGGCACTTGGACCCTTCGGGATCATTATACCTAGGGGCTCGTAACCTACCCCTTGTTTGGGATGCCTAGTTTTATGGTAAGGATCTGTTTTCTTTTTCATAGGCACCCTAAAGAAAGGGTAGGGTATGAGCCCCGTCAAGGAACCCCTCAATTGGGCACTGGTTGATGAACGGGACCGTAAGCAAGGAAAACTGAAACTCTATTCCCGAACACACCCAAAACCTTAAACTGTACACTGACTGTTCCAAGCAGGAGGCCAATTTCGCGCGAACTGTCCGACATTTGTCTTGTCACCGAAGTACTGTTAGATATACATATGCAATCATGTGTGCATACGTGTACGAGGCCGACCGGATGTAGTGGCAGTCTCTGCTCCGTTCAGCTTGTAGCACAGGCTCTGCTCCAAGCATAGAGCTGGATTTGGGGTCCAGGGTTCTTTTTGCTGCCGTAATTGACCAATGCATAAGTAGCTGTAGCCAGCCTCACTTGTTGGACTGGTGAAATGTTCCTTTCGGCCGGTCAATACCCCCAAACCCTCAGTCTGTGTGGTTGCGTTCGCACGGAGGCGGCGACGGCCAGCGCTTCAAGCTTATCATCCGAGACTCTTACGACTGGAATGGGCTTCTCGGAGCAAGGGAACATGTTTAGGCGAGGAGCAGCCGTAAAAATAAACATTGCTAATCTTCGCTGGCCATCGCCCAGGAGTTTTGTGCATGTGTGTTGCTCGCTAAAGAGTGGTGATATCCGGGTAGAGTGTGAAGCTCCATAGTTTACTTTCTATGTGCCGCTCTCTACACAGCCTGCCATAAAGCCCTAAGGTAAAAGCCAGAAAGTTGGAATACGATTATCCTAAACCCTTTATGGTAAAATATAGGGTATCCTACCATTAATCCATATTCCAACTTTCTGGAGTTCCCTTTAAACCAAAAACCCCTAAACCCTAGACCTCACTCCCCGTGCCCTGGCCCATCCCTTCAGTTCTCACGAATTCGGTGTGTTTAGGCCAATAACGAGTAACCAGCCTAAGCATGATTTCAACTGTGGCTTTCCGCATAGTTGGGCGGGGCGCAGTTAGCCTAGATTTTAGGGAAGGCAGGTTCATGTACTCCGCGAAACCTAACCTTTTCGAGCAGGGCTTGTCGGTTCGATTGGGATCTAAGGGTTTAGTGAGGGCTGGAAAAGCTCATGAGGGGTTACGGGGTTTGATGTTATATGTCCGGGCCTTTAGAAATTACTTGTCCTATAGTTGCCCAGGATTGCTTGGAGCTACGAGTTCGACACGCAGAGCCTGATCCCATCTCTTGACGGGATAGTGGAGGCCAACGCGCCTTTCAAAGACTTTGTCCCGACTCTTTTCGCCAGGACTGTTCCCGGCCAGACTTTTAACACAAAGCAGCTCACCGCTGTACAGCTCACCCTGAGCAAGTTTAGCTATGATGGGGCATTAAACCCCAATTTTCGAGCAGGCAGTTTCTCACTGCAAGTCGAGTCCATCTCGACTTTCTAGCGCGTAAGTCAACTGCTCCATTGCATAATGCAGGCGCTTCCATTGTTAGAATAGGGCGCTGGGGTATAGTATACTATCCTACAGTCATCCGGGGACTAACGGGAGATAGCTTGTCTATCTATTCAGACCCCTATGTGAAGAGTCTGCCCCGACACCAGAACGCAAGCCCAGCATCGGACCGGCCACGTGGCGCAACAAGAACGCCGATGAACAGGGGTTTAGGGTTAGGGTTTAGGGTTTCAATCGCACCCAGGACTCAGGACACTAGCAACCCAATTTTTGAAGAATGCATTAAGTACAACATGTCGCCCATCCATTTTCCGATACGCCACAATTAAACACGTAGCGAGCAACGCACAGCTCTTAACCTGGACCCGACATATGCCAACAACTCTGTGCCCTGAGCCCTAAGACCAGAATCCTCGGTCACATCTCTGCATCTGCAAAAGCATCGCAGTCCTGAAGCTCCGGCTACTTAAGAGATCATGGGACTTAGTAACTATAGGGTTATAATTCGGCTAACTCTACTTCTAACTACTTATAACCCCAATTAAGGTACTTATCACCTTACTTATAAAGTCCCATGATCCTTTAAGGGGTCGCAGAAGGTGGGATCTACTTTGAGGCTTAAGTTATGGGGTTTCGATAACGGTGGTCTAGGTTGTTCACAAGACCTTATGTAGGGTTCTACGGGGTGTATACGACGTCGGCCTGAACATATCCCACAACCCAGACAGCCTAAATGCTAAAGCCCTTTGTTGGTTCAGTTGCATCTTGGTGGTCATTGGGCGGAGGCAGATGGTTTCTTAGGGTTGGCGGGGGTTGGGTTCAATTCTCAGAGTTCGGGGATTGAGCTTAACATTATTTCCTGTTCGTCTTTGTAATAAAACTAGGCTCGAATATGGCACACCCCCAAACCCTATTCTGATTACGGCAAACTCCAAAAAGTTGGAAACCTAGCGAAGGACAAATAGTGCTGGGATTCCATATACTTTACTCTTAGGGATTGAGGCTATCGGGTTTCCAACTTTTTGGCTTCTACTGTAGGTGTTTGAGGTCAGAGTCATGCCTGGGTCGGATTCTTGGCGTTCTAGAGCCAGGATGGCTGATAGAAGTGTGTTTGCGAAGCTTCATGAGGAGGTCTCTAAGCCATGCTTCCCCGGTCCACGGCCACCTCCCACCATGCTGTGCAACACCCTGAACCATTGGAGGGGGGATTGGTGTGTAGAGGTCGGGAATCAGAGTTTGGGATTCTGCAAAGTTCGTTGTAGGGCTTATGGACCGCATATAGTAAGAGGGTTAGCGCATGTTAGGAATAAACGCCTCATGATGTTCTCTGCATGACTATCTAGCAATATTCTGCCTCTTACTGATTGACGGAATTGGTTGATCGACTGATTGATCGGGTGGTTCATTGATTGATTAACTGATTGATTGAGGCCTGCTGGTAGTTTGAGACAGTACGGTCCCACAAACACCTATGCAGCTCCATAAGCATCGAAGTTCCTTTGTGCATGACCATCGTTTGCTTAGGATGGTCCGCTTGGGTCAGGGCCTCAGCACTCTGCGCGGTTCAGTGCTCAAGGTTCGAGGTCAGTCTTTGGGCTTGTAGCCAGATGGGAGGTTCCGGAAATAGTGGACCCTAATATAGTACCCTTTTTAGTAGGATCCTTATGGTAAGTACCCCAAATAAGGTACCCCGTATTTTCGGAAACTATGAGATCCCCGAAACCTAAAACTCAAACCTTAAGCCCGACTCCCGAAACCTGGACTCATAACTTCTGGCTCAGTGTTTAGGGTTTAGGGGTTTAGGTTTAGGTTTAGGGTTTAGGTTTAGGGTTTAGTGTAGCTGCCGGCCACTCTGCATTAGATGCAACTTTGGGGGACCGGACGGCTTGTATCAAGGATACGCTTTGAATGTCCTGGTACATTTCGGCCTGAAAAGATTACTACTATGCCTTTGATTTCCTCAGTGCAATGTTAGCATAATCGACTAATAGATGACATACCCCACAAAATCCTTCTCAGATCATTGAGGCCCCTATGTTACCTTAGGGGTCCGGCCAGATCCGTGTCTTGCGCGTGTAGAACAGCAGTGAGACACACTGAGCCATGCACTCGGAAACAGCGTCTGCATTCGGTACGCCTACATCGGCTTTTGTTTTAAGGCATTTAAGTTAAGCCAAAAGTATGTACTGTATGGGTATATGAATTGACCCTGAGGGCCTTTGGGCTTTAAGTTTGTGGTAACTTCTGAGGCCTGGACCGAGCGAATCTTTGCCAGCACAGGCGGCTCAGGGCTTGTGGGCAAGGTCCAAGAGACTAGGTACTTCGAGTGATGCCTGGTATGGGGCATTGGGTTTAGAGTTTAGGGTTTAGGGTTAGAGTTTTAATAGGGTTTATATAGGGTTAGGGTTTAGGGTTTAGGGTTGGGGTATTGGGTTTAGGGCGGAGGCTTTTTACGGTTTGGGGTGTAGGTATGAGAAGACCCAAACTACAGTCTCTGCAGCGCAAATCGGGCCCCTAAAGAAAGGGTCGCACATTGGTCTAAGGTCCCAAACTCAAAGCTATCCTAAACCTGAATCCCGAACCTTAAACACTCACGCCCAGCATACAGCCTCCATCCCAAGAGCCCTGGCCCTAACTGACCCAAGCCTCCCCGAACGACAGCTGCACACCAAAGGTTTCCCTCCACGTGCCTCAGAGTATCGTGCTACTGGTAGTATATAACTCATGCTTCTGAAGAATGAACTTACACAGAAGTAGATTATGGTTCTTCACGGTAAGGCCCCTCGACTTAAACCCGGAATATCTCTGAAACCTAGATTCGGATGCCGGATGTTCGCACACCTGGGTTGTTCTTCCTAGAGTTCTGGTAGTTGGTAGATTCTGGGTTTCAAGGTCTGCGGTTCACAGATTCTACATTTTGCAGGCTCCATGGGCCGACGCCTTCAAGACTGGTGCCCTAGACCCCCATACCCTAAGTCCTAAATTCTCAACCCGAAGCCCCAAACCCTACACCAACTGAATCCCAAAGCCTAAACCCTGATTCATAAAAGGGTGGCTAGTACTCGGTTCCTTATTATTTTCGTAGTATAATCGCCCCAAAACCCTATTCTAATCATTAAGGCCCCTATATTATAGAACCCCACCACAGATCCCTTATAGAACTGTTTAGATCAACCTGGTCTAATTTTCTATTAGCACACCGGGCAGTCTTGGCCTCTCGTGTAGGGTTTAGGGCTTCAGGTTTTAGGGGTTCAGGGGTTTAGGGTTTAGGGTTCCCTGGTTCATAGCCTGCCCTAAGGGTCCAAGTACCCAACTGGGAGGGTTTCAAGGTTCAAAAACCATTCAGAGTATGGATTTCGGGCCCGAAAACCCTACTATTTGGGAACTTGGACCCCCTGGGCTGCAAACCCTAAACCCCAAACCCTAAACCCAACTCGAGACCCTGTTCAACTTTCACCCTAAACTCTGCAGGTATCGGCCCGACTCCTTGAACCGAAACAAAAATGCCCCACGAACCTAACATAAATCCCCCTAGAAGTAATTAAAGTAGTGGTCCCGCCACACCCATAAAAGGCTATTTATTGTTTAACATGCTATAGAAAGGCTATGATTCTGCATGCTTGCGGGGTCCAGGTAGCCATCTTCTAGGCTTCGGTTCCCCCCACCCATCCATCCACCCACCTACCCACCCACCCACCTAAAGCCTAAACCCTAAACCCTAAACCCTATAAACCCTATAAACCCTAAACCCTAAGCCCTAAACCCTAAACCCTATAAGCCCTATAAACCCTATAAACCCTATAAACCCTAAACCCGAAACCCGAAACCCTAAACCCTACCCACCCACCCACCGCTCACTGCCAGAACCCTGCAGGCGCCACCCGGCTCACCCCCAAAGGGACCGGCAGCGAAGCCGGAGGCTGGAGTCAGCTTTGTTCTATAGTCTCCTTAGGGTTTTTTGTTCAGATAAAGCCCAAGAGAATATTCAACATCTTACTTTGATTATGGTTCTAGTTTACAGGGCTTCAGGGCGTGGTCTTTAGGAGTTCAGGGCTCAGGGTTTTAGGGTCTTGGGGTTTGGGGCATGTAGGGTTTATTTGATTTATTTGTATACCATGGGTTTCCTCATAGCTCCACTCTTTTCGATGCACTTATTCTGCACGCCTACTGGATGTTGATTTATGTTTGAGGGTTTCGGGCTTATACCTAGACCCCCTGTGTGCGCGATAAAACAGCCACAACCTCAACTGACTTCCATTTCAGCCCTAACTTTCCAGAATCGCCTTGAAAGATCAGAATCGCCATTCCCAAAAAAAACAGCCACATGCAAAGAACTTTAAGATCAGCCTTGTGCCTCGCAGCGGTCGCTCAAGAACGAGACAAGGGCCATGGGAGGCATATCCAATGCATAGGAAAAACGAAATTGTTACAGAAAGCTAGGCAACATATAGTTGAAAGATGATATCACTCTGATAACGATTGAGCCATGGCTCCCCGTGCTGTTCTGCTATGCAGTTCAGCGAGGCCTGCTTTTGGCACAGCGCTTGCCGCCTTTCTCTTTTAGGATGGTGGCTTTTACTTTCAGTAGGTGCCTCTGTACACATCTCAGTGAGCTTGTGCAAACATGAGTGGAGCGAGAAACCCTGGCTGTTCGTCCAATAAAATCTTCATCTTGAGAGCAATCCCAAAGCAATGGATTTGGGAAGACTGTGCAGCGCCTTTGAAGGCAATGGTCAATCTCTACCGCAAAATGATGCCAGCCATGTAGTGTAGTCTTTAAACTGAATGCTGGGAACTTCAGCTCAACACAAGCTTTGGCCATGTAGGAGTACCCTCGTGTCATTGTCAGCAAAGTACGCCTGAGGGCTTTCATGCAGTTGACCCCAAGCCACAGCCCGTGTGAGTAAAGAAGCCGGAAGCAATCACGGGCGGCAGCGGTCAATCGAAGCCCCACTCGCAGGAGGTCAGCGTGGCTTACATGGTTTCCATTC